CGTCAAAGTGAAAACGAAAAATAAACATAAACAATTGACATCAAAGCTTATGTGAATAATAAAAACGTTGTTTTCATATTTCAATAATAAAAATGGCACAATCCTAACTATAAAGTATATACTTTCATCTATAGTTTCATTTTCCATTCCGATCCATTACGCATTGATTAATTTCCATTTTTTCCATTCTTTTCTTCTGATCAACTCTTAGGTATTGTTCAAATTTTATTAGTTTGATTTCAACATCAATATGATATAATTTAAGAAAAAATAGTTTTTTTTTATCAGTGGGCAATTGCCGCTGCAATGCCACCCGCGGCTGCTGATGCAGCAACGCCTGTGGTGGTGGTTACTACACCAGCAGCCCCTGCTGCTTGTAAAGCCGAAAATGCCGAGCCAGCCACCACGTTCCCTGAAAATATTATTGTTTTATTAGGAAAATCTTTTGTATATGTTTGGTATAATTGGCTTGCAACTTCTTAAGCATATAACAAAACTGAGCAATGAACTAATCAAATCCTCGATTTTTTTGTTACAACCTCAATTTTTTTCTTCATTTGCTAGAGTTTGAAATTGTTTGAAAATTACTCACCGATTGAAGCCTGCCAAGCGGCTGCAGCGCTTCCTGAAAATCAAAACAGATTTATTTATTTTCATGTTTTTGTTTATATGAAATTTTGAATTCTAAGACAAGTAGTCATACCAGTTACGATCCCGGATCCAGTGAAACCAAACACGGCTAGCGCAGCTGGTGCTGCCACAAAGAGTGTGGTTCCTGTGACCGCTGCCACACCTAGTCCCCAAATTAAATCCATTGAATCAAATAAATCCGTTTTTACGTTGTTCGATGATGATGTTTTTTGCGTTGTAAGCTTATGGCGAACAAATTCCTTATGCGTCTTTGTTTCGAGATGTCTGTAGTAGCATAGTTCATGCTTGTATACTTGTATATGTGTTGTTTATTTTGCGAATGTAGTGGATAGTAAGGAATACAGGAATGCAGTAACATGAAGGAATGGTAGTAGATCATGACTATGATCTTGATAGTATGTGATTTTTAATCTAGTATATGAATTCAATTTTTTTAATTCAATTGTTCAATCGTAATAATTAAAATCTTATCATCTTTTTGACTTTACAAAATGTACAAAAAAAAAGTGATAACATTTTAATTATTTCGATTAAAGTTATAACAATTGAATTATTTGTGGACTTTACGGAACCGACGATGTTACCACAATGCTTATCGTATTGGATAAAATTGAAAATAAATTATGCATCAAAATGATTATATCTTAATTGAGTTTTCTTCCACCCGATTTTTTATTTGGCCAATTTGACAAATCGAAACTCCAAAAATAAATAATCAACCTACAAGGTGTGCAACGTTTTTTCCATTTTCGAGCAAAAGTGGAAAAATTTAATGTAAGCGAAATCACAACACAAATTTCAGCAATAGATTGTCGATGAAATGGTTTTCACAAATAAAAAGTTGATACAGAATTAATTTATAATGAAATTGATTGGATTTTTTTCCCTCTCTCTTGTACGAGGGTTGCTCCATAATTTTTTTTAAAAACATATATAACACAGTTGTTTTTTGTCGAAAATGGTTTTATTGTTTTTCAAAATATTCCCCGAGATGATCGATACACTTTTGCATTCGATGAAACCATTTGTCATAGCATTCGTGCCACTCCGAAACTGATATCTCTAAAACGTGTGTTTTGAACGCTTCAACTGCTTCTTCTGGTGTCGAAAATCGTTGACCACGTAGTTTTTTCTTCACGCTTGGGAACAAAAAAAAGTCATTGGGTGCCAGGTCAGGACTGTACGGTGGATGACCCATCAGTTCGATGTTTTGACCGGTCAAAAATCGAGTAGTTTGAAAAGATGTGTGAGAGCTCGCATTATCGTGATGAAGAATTATTTTGCGACGGTGGTTGTTTTTTCTTATTTCACCAAACACTTCGGGCAAACAAATGGTGGTATACCAATCAGAATTGACGGTCTTACGATCCTCTAGTGGAACGGTTGCCACATGACCACTTATCGCGAAAAAACAGGCGACCATTTGCTTCGCAACACTTCGAGCTCGAACAACTTTTGTTGGGTTATCTTCACTTTGAAAGACCCATACAGTCGACTGCTGTTTAGTTTCGGGCTCATACGCGTAGATCCATGATTCGCCACCAGTGACGATAAAATACTCGGATTTTGAATCACCACGATTGAATTTCTTGAGCATTTCTTTACACCAACTCACACGAGCCATTTTTTGTTCATCGGTCAATTTATGTGGGATCCAACGAGAGCAAATCTTTTTTACGGCTAAATGTTCATGCAAAATTGTATGTATGCTGTGGGATGAAATGCCCAAAGATGCCTCAATCTCACGGTAGGTCACATGACGATCTTCCATAATCAGTTTTCTGACAGCATCGATGTTTTGTGGCACAACAGCCGATTTTGGACGACCTGTATGAAACTCGTCTTTGAGCGAACTACGACCGCAACGGAATTCTCGGTACCAGTTATAAATTGTCTGAAGGGTTGGTGCTTCATTGCCAAAGGCCAAATGAAGTCGATCGAAACACTGTTGTTGAGATAATTTACTTCGAAAATCGTAGTAAATCATTTTACGAAAATCTTCACGTGTAAAATTCATTTTTTTGTTGAGTCGCAGTTTACCAGTCACTGTAAACAATACAAATAGCGTTCGTACGACAAAAGGTTCAGGGCACGAATACATACCAAAACATCAAACTTTACGAATATGACAATGGTTTACATCGGGCAACACTATAAGTACCATTTTAAAAAAAAATATGGAGCAACCTACGTATTGAAAATACTTTTTTTTTATCAAGAGCGGTGAAAAAAACAACGTGGCTTTGACAGCTGTCAACTCTCTCTTTTAGCCATAGATGTCACTAAATGAGGTCGTCGACCCCTAAAACATCGATATTTGAATTCTAGAGCTCAATACCTTTACAACGACCCCCTATCCGTCAAAATCGATCAATCTTTTCGAAAAATTCCGCATTTTGAAAATTTTATATGATAAAAAATATCACGGGGGACGGCAGTCCCCCAAATGACGCAATTTTGCGTCACTCTATATATACGATAAAGAAATGAAAATCGATACCGCTGACTTTTGGAAAGGGGTTTTTGCATATTTTAGTAGTGCTCGGGCACCAAATTAAGAATCCGCAGAAAAAATTTCAAAATTTGGCCGCCAGGTGGCATTTTGAAAAAATCGCTGAAAATTCATTTTTTTCGATTTTTGACCACCGAAATGATTTTTTTGAATTTTTTTTGGCCATATTCGGAATCTAGGGAGTGCGTAAATAATGTTAAAAAAAAGACCAAAAATGGCCAAAAACCTCAAAATTAGCCGGTTGAGGTGTTTTGAGTAGTTTCTTTTAAATTGTGTGAAATTATTTTTTT